TAAAGATTCCCCAAGTTTCAAGTGAATTGAACAAAGGGGTCTGGTTTTACAGCCCCTTGAATAAGGTGCCCCCAAGGGATCAATAATACACACAGAAATAAAAAACAAGAAGCAAACCCCTCAGAAACTAAGAAAAGGAAAGGCTGATCTAAAATTACCGATTAAGCTGGACAGAATCCAAAAGCACAATGAAAATAATGCCTGTCCTAAATTACCCCCTCCCTGCTAACAAATGGCACCCCCTTTACCCCCCCATGAAAAAGGATGCAGAAAGGTTAGCTAATACTAATAAGTTAATAATCAAAATGAATCAAACCAATCTGTCAAGAAGAGTCCAACTCAGTAGGGGACCGCGGTGGGTCAGAGGTTAAGACTGGGGTACATTGTACCCCAGTGTTAGCCGCCCTGAGCCCGCTCACGGGATGGGCGGGGTATAAATATAATTAATAAATAAATAAGACACTGAGCTGCAGACTGGAAGGTCTGTAGTTCAGCAGTTCAAGGCCCTAGTGCTGTGTGATGGAGTGAGCTCCCGTCTCTGGCCCCAGCTGCTGCCAACCTAGCAGTTTGAAAGCAAGAAATTGTAAGTAGATAAATAGGTACTGTTGTGGTGGATTTGGGTGGTCAAAGGAAGCTCACACTGTGGTAACACAAATATACTTCTTTAATTGCAGACAACAACACAAGCCACGATATACATAAAGATGGAACAAAGTTTAAGTCCAGTGGCACCTTTAAGACCAACAAAGTTTAATTTTGGGTATAAGTTTTCATGTGCATGCACACGTCATCAATGTATCTGATGAAGCGTGCATGCACACGAAAGCTTATACCCAGAATTAAATGTTGTTGGTCTTAAAGGTACTTCTAGATTCAAACTTCATCCTGTTGCTTCAGACCAACACAGCTACCCACCTGAATATGCATAAAGATGGTTTCTCACATTCCTTCAGCCACTGACAGGATTCTTACAGCAGCAACCGCTCCAGATCTCCACTAAAGCCCACTTGCTATGGTTTCCTCTTTTATACCCTGCTTAGGTGCCACCTCCTAATATGAGTATCACCTGGTGCTCATGCTGAGTCAAGTTCTACTGCTTGCACCTGACACTCCATTGGGAAGGCTGAAGTCTGCAGCCAGTTTGATGGAACCTAGCTGCCAATGTACTCTGAGACAAGATAAAATTACCTGACAAACACCATTCCATGCATCAAGGGGTTCTTCTGCGATGGCACTATAGCAGCATATTTGATTAGCAGGGAAAAATGAAGTGTGTTTTAAATGTTATATTCAAATAAATGCAAAGCTTTCTGTTTAAATTACTCTTATTGGAAAAATAGCTAAAACAAATTAAATACAATACCAAGGCAATCCTATTCAGAGTTACTCTAGACTAAGCCCATTGCAATCAAGTGCCTTAGAATGGAGTAATTCTGCATAGGATTTTACTGTATAGCATGTTGTCTGAGATCAGAGGAATCCCCAGACTTACTGATGTGCTATGTGTTACGCCAACTGCTTTATTTACAGCAGAGGCTAACTAAATTTTTAACGTGAGTTCTGGCCAGCTATATCAGGGTGGTGTCCAGACCCAGAGTCCCAGTAACGTAGACCACACAGGTGTTTTACAAATAATTTCTTTACTAAGCAATATCAAAGTCACATACACACAAAAACATCAGTCTCACTTCGCATATGTTCAAGTTTCCTTTAGAGTTACAGAAATAGAAATAAAATAGATTCTCAGTTACTTGGAGGTAGGTAGGTATTTCGATTTATACTCGCCTGTTCCAGAAGTCTTGTCTGTTGCAATGGGAATGGGGTAGAAAGTAATACCTAGGGGTTTAAGCTAAATCACACCTGCTAGAACCAGCTAAGCAAGTATGGATCTCGTTGGCTGCAGTCCAAGAGATCTTAAGGTAGACAAAGGATTGTTGGACAGAAAGCTGGACCTTAGGGGTAGTAAAGAAGATAGAGGTCGTAGAGAAGGGAGGTGGCTAGCAAAGACCTAGGGTTTGGGTCTTTACTTTTATAGTTGAATCTCCAGGTGGGTGGTACCTTGCCAATCTGTAATCCCACCTATTTACAAGTCCATACCATAGTTCTTCCTATTGGTGCATGTAGAAATGGGCAGGTATTCTATGGGTTGGGCCAATATTTGAAATACTACACTCTATCTCATGGAATAGCCATCTGGCCAGGTGTGAAATGTGGACTTCCTGCATCCTCTTTGAAGTACAAACGAATCTTGGCTTTACCAGGCATAAACAGGAAACTTGCAATACAGATGCAGATCAGGTCCGTGTCCTGTGTGACAACCAGTCTTTTCAGTAATGGGGGAATCTCTTTCTTGGGTTGTTGTTCTCTGCTCACAATGGCTAACATGTGCTCTTTCTTCCCATGATGCTCTGAGCTGAATGTGTGCAAGCTACATTAACATAAAATGCAGGCAAGTATTCCCTATGTGAAGTCTCTCACAGTAGGTGATGCAAACAGCTTCCTTTGGCTCATGGTATACAGATGTGTGCACAGTCCATTTGTAGCGTGTGTGTGTAGCAGATATAAAACCATAACTTAGTTCATTTCCCAACATATGGCAGGGTAGGGGAGAAGTGCTGTGATCCTGCCAACCCAACAGCTAACCAACAGCATCTCTGGAGGGATTCAGGAGGGCTAGAAGCTGGCCTTTTGTGGTGATTATATTAGCCCTCTCATCATGTCAGAGAAGACATATGAATAAGAACTTGGCTTTGGTTTTTATCCCCCCAATATCCAGTTGGTATCTTTTCACCCATAATTTAAATTCATTATTCTGAGTTTTATCCTCTGGTGCCAAGAACAACAGCTCCTTGCCCTCCTCTAAGTGACAGCCTTTCAAATACTTAAAGAGGACAATCATGCCCCCCTTCAACCTCCTCCAGACTGAGCATTCCCAAGTTCCTCAGTCTTTCCTTGTAGGGCTTGGTCTCCAGGCCCCTGATCATCCTTGTTGCTGTCCTCTATGCCCACTCCATTCTGTCCATATTCTTTTTGAAATGAGATCTCCAGAACTGCACACAATACTCCAGGTGCAGCCTGCAATGCCACATTCAGTGGGACTATGACATCTTGCTATTTGGATGTTATACCTCTGTTGATGCACCACAGAAGCATAACATCCAAATTGCAAAATGTCTGAAGCAGGCAGAGTTTTAGAATATGAACTAGAAGCTTGCTCTTTGCTACTGGCCCGTTACTGTTTTCTGCTACAAATTTTGTAAGTCTTTAAGGTGCTACTGGACTCTTACTCTTTTCTAGAAGCTTGAGGTTAATGAAATAGCCAGCATTAAGATTTGAGGAAAGGGATGTTGTGTCCATCGTGAAGGGATGCAAAGATAACTCTGCTTGTTTCATACATAATCCCTAAACTGAAGTGTTTTTGCTTTTATTAAGTAATTGCTTTGCATTCCTTTGGCACAGTGCTTAAAACAGTTCTAGCATTATATTTTCAAAGATCGGATCTAATTATGAAAAAGTAGATAGATGGATAGATCTATAATCCATGTATTGCTTCTGTATAGTAATATGAACAATATATTTAAATCTTTCAGACTTCATACTCTTCAAAGTTCACCTTGCCATCCTAATAATGTGAACAAGATTGCTTGTTTCTATGGCAACACACAATGTAGTACCACTTCATTGTTAAAATAATTTAATGAAGTAACACATTAAGAAATGTTTTGAAAATGAATTTACAAATGCACAGCATATAAGAAAGTATTTTTTAAATTCAGAATTATAACAGTTCAAGTCATGTAATGAAAGACATGAAACTTATTTCGCTGAGAAAGTCCAAGTTTAATGTTTAAATCTGACCAGTGAACTGCTTTGATATATAAACTTGTAAATTCCAAAAAAAGTGCTACGTCTTGTGTCAAAAAGTCTCTGTTAAATAATAGTTTTGTATGTTCCTTATTTTGTGAAGAATCTTATGTAATTCATATGACATCACAATGAAGCTGCAAAGGAGAAATGAGAACCTGTACATTGTTACAGGTTTCTGCAGCTGCAAAAGGAAACTATTAATCCTCCATGGTTTACTAATGAAAACCTTCAACAATGAAAGAAGATCTAAGTACATGAAGGCGTATAACCTGGCTGGAAGACTAGGGCCACAATCCAACACAGTAGGTAGGGTTAAGTCCATGTAAATGTTTGGCCGACTTTGATATAGTATGATCTGGGTAGTCATACCAGAATGCTGAAGAAAAAAAATAGGAAATAAAGGTTACTATTAAATACAATGTATTTAAGTAGCTTGAATCCAAAAATTCTACATATTTTATTACAATTTATTCTTTTCCCTATCTTGCCATGGATCAAGTGGCAGCATTTTAAAATCAAAAGAAGAAAAGTGAATTCTAAGATACTAATATTTACCAGGATCCCAATATTTGCTATGTGCTACTTGTATTAAAATAGTACAGTTACAAAATTCAGTTCAGGTGGGTGTATTGAATTCCAATTAATTTGTAGAGGTTGGACCCGTGAAGGAAGGAGTCACACAATGGATATCACCCCCCTTCTCCCAAGAATCTCCTGAGGTCCTTGGAAAACTAATCCTGACTGCTGGAAGACCCTCAGAATAAAAGTGAGTTGCAACACTGGGGACTGCACAGATCACCTGCCCATCCCTTGGGTGAGTGGTTGCTGTGCTAGTAGAATAGCCTATTCAGGAGGAGAAGGGATGATTTCTGTCAATTTCCCTTTGTTCCTCTAGTCCACCACACTGCGTTCCACTCTATAACTGAAGATCCCACAACCTTCAGGCGCATAGTTCACAAGATGCAGGAAACTGAATGGGAAAAACCAGTTCCATAAACAACTCCTCCATAGAATCTAATATTGTCTATATTATTAGTCAAAAAAATCTGAAGTGTAAAAAAATAAGACATTGCCTTTTTATTAATAGACAGTATACTTAATTATGAAAGTCCTACTTTATCCTTTATCCTTAGAGACCATCTTCAACAAATCTGTCACCAGCAGAAGAGGAAGAAGAAGAAGGAGGTGAAAGTTGTGGACCTACTGGATTGTGGGAAGCTCTGACACCCTGTAATGGATGCAGGAATCTTGGATTTCCCAGTCTTACTCAGGTATTTACTTGATTTCTGATTTTCTTCTTGAATATTTTTAACAAAAGATCTTCAATTATAGTTTTATGTGCTTTTTTAAAAATACTGAATATTAGACCACAGGGCCAAAACACGTCTACCTCTCCCTCACCGCACACTGGTGGCAACCCAAGGAGTTCCAGGGTGGGCAGGGGGAGCTGCCACCCCATTCTGGGATGAGCATGCTTCCGTCCAGCTACAAGGTGGTGCTCCTCCATGCTCAAGCCGGTTTAAACCAAGATGTGGGATTTGGTAATTCTTGCTTAGTTGCTGTATCACAATTTTTCGTTACTAGCTTAGTTTTTTTATAGTTAATTTTAAGTCCCGCAACTTGTCCATATTCTCAAATCACTTTTAATAATTCTTGTATAGATTCCTTAGGGTTTTCTAAAATAAATAAAAGGTCATCAGCAAATGCCAGCAATTTATGTTCCAAACCTTTTATTTTCAGTCCTTGAATATATTCATTCTGTCTTACTATATCGTTAAGTGTTTCTAGAGCAAAAATAAACAATAGTGGAGCACACATTGGTGAATATCTCTGCAGCCATTCGGAGAAGCCTGAAGACCTGGTTTTGGGGGAAACAGATCACCCATGGCTATCTGATCCTTCACCTCAGAGTTCCTTCTCTCTCTCTCCCTCTCCTCCTTTGCCCCTCGGCGACCAAGTCTCAAACCACTTTCTGGGGCAGGGAGCTGGCACTGACAAAGTCTCCTGGGCACAGGCTGTGGGTCTTCTCTCCTTTCTGCACCCCGCCTCCCTGGTTGCTGAAGTCCCTCACCTCATAGTTCTCTCTTTGGCCTGGAAAGTGGGCACCCCACTCTCTAACCGTTTCCTGGGGGAGGTTTGCAGACTGCCCTTGGCATTGACTGCGGGGCTCACATTTCTTCTTTGAAAGAGCACCCCCCCTTTTTGCTTGGGTCACTGTAGTCCTGGACTTGGGAGTTCTTTGTCTCCCGTGGCAAGTGGGCACCCCACTGTCAAAGCAATTTCTGGGGGGGGGGCTAACTGTCCTTGACACTGACTGCGGGGCTTGCCTTCACTGCGCCTGCCAAAATAAAGAAACCCTTCTCCCTGGGTGGGTGGATCAAGTCTCTACCTTTGGGTCCCCCTCTTTCCTCTGACTGCTGGCTGTGAGGACTTTCCTAGACTGACCCTGTTGAAAGGGGGAAAACCCTTTCTCCCTGGGTGAGTCGAGTGTCTGCCTTCGGCCCCCCTCCTCTGCCAACTAGGCTCCGAACCCACCGACCCTTGCAGCATTTCCCCGCGGCTCGAGCAGCCACTCTTTCATCCCCATTACCTGGATCTTATGTGTGGGGACATGAGGCCCCCCCAAAGGGGTCATAGTCACGGGCATGGGCAGATGGGAAGACAGGGCACACTGACTACAGGTGGTGGGATACGACTGCGTTCTCCCACACTGGTGCCCTCCTTCTCAGGCACTTTGTCAGTGGCCTCCGTGTCAGGTTCCCCTGCAGCATCCACTGGTCTGGTCTTGGTCACTGGATGAGAGCCCCCCCTGTTCCAGGTCGGCTGCGGGGGCAAAGTATGTGTGAGAGGGAGGAGACCGACGTCGCTAGTGGCAAGAGTGGTGACGATGGCCGAAGCGTGCCATCGTGTTCCGTGCCCAGGGATTCCAGGCCACGATCACCTGCCTGTCCCTCAACCGTCAGTACGCCCCCTATCAGTCCAGGGTCTGAGAAAGAGGTTCTGCCTGAAAAGTGCCCTTCTGATGGGTGTGGGAGCATGGCTGCAGCCTACTGCATGGAATTACTTCCACATCCCACGCAGTGATCCCTGTGTGGTGGAGTGCCAGGTGTATGGGGTACATGTTCGTCGGGGGAGAGATCCGCATCATTTAACCACTAGTGTTCTACAGAGGCACTTGTGTCAGTTGCACCCCAATTTTACTCCACTGGAGGGTGGACCCCCTGAGCCTGCCGCTGGGAATGGGGCGCAGACTCCAAGTTGATGGGGAGAGGGAGGTCGGGATGGATGGGCCACCATGGTGGGGTCTCTGCCCTCCCCTATGGGTTCCCCCAGGCAAACCACCCTTCAAGAGATCATGCTCGTTGGGTCCACCCCAGTGCCTGGAAAGGGGATGAGGCAGGCCCGTAGGCTGCGTGGGGCCCTGGGGGCCCGGCCTCCCCACGGGGTTTGTGGGGGCCCCTCCCCCGATCCTCTGCTCCTCCCCCCATGGCCTCGGGAGGGAGGGAGAGAGGCGGCGGCCTGTCGGAGGGAAGGAGCGCATCGGCGCTGGCAGCCAGCAAGCGGTCCCTGTGAGCGTCTCCCCCAGGCCCCAGAGCGGCGCTTCTAGTCCGAGGGTGGCTGGCCGGCACTTCCTAACACCCCCCGAGCCCCCGCCCCCACCTCCCGCCTTGCTTCTCAACATTGCAGCAGCGGCAGCGCTCAGTGTGACTCTCCATCCACGCGGGAGCCGGCAGCGTTGTGTGGGACTTCAGGGGGCCGCTGTGCTTATGCTTTCCATGTAGTTTTTTTTTTGGTGTTCAGTCGCAGTCGAGTCCGACTCTTTGCGACCCCATGGTAGACCAGATCACGGCAGGCCTCCCCCCTTCCCCTCCTCCCCCTCCCCTCCCCCCCTCCTCGGAGGATGGACGGAACGGAGGCACTCAAGGGAAGTTCGACCTCCTCCGCTCTGCCTCCGCTGCTCCGGCTCCGCCCCTCCACCCCTCCCAGCACTCAAGGCGGGGTTACAGACTCCGCCTCTGTCTGCTGAGCTCCTGGCCTGCTGCCCACGCGCACGCTGCCTGCTTCGCGCCTCCGATCGACTGCACGTGTCGATGGTGAGCTGAGCTGCCCTCTTGGAAGTTGGTGGAACCCACTGCAAGGTGAAGTGAGTGCTGCTGCGTGCGCCGGCGCCCTGTCGGTCCACCGCCTGGCCAGCCATCTCCCCGTGTGACTGTCCCATCCCTTCTCTCCCCCCCAGTCTTTGCAGGGCCGCGCTGACGGTGTGACTGTCCCTTCCCCCCCCCCCCCGCCCCCAGTCTTTGCAGGGCCGCGCAGGCCCCTGCAGTGCAAAGCCTTCTCTGCCCCCCCCCCTAGTCTTTGCAGGGCTGTGCTGAGATGCAGGCGGCAGGCAGGCCCCTGCAAAACCTTCTCCAATGACCGGGACCCCCGTCTTTGCAGGGCCCGTGGGCCTGCAAAGCCTTTCCTTCTCTGCCCCGGTCTGTCTTCTCCAGGCCTAGTTTAGCACCCTCAAGTTTCAAAGCCTGGCTATAAGAACCGGCTATTCTTTTGGATTTTGACTTGAGAAGTTCCTTCCATCTCTCAGAGAATAATAATTCTGACACTGTGCACTGGGGCTGTGAGAGGGAGGCCAATGAACTAAAAGCTGCTGTGAACCCTGAGAATGCACTGAGCCAGTGTGGGGTAGTGGTAAGAATGTTGGTCTATGAGACCCAGGTTCAAGTCCCCACTTTCCAATGGAAGCTTGCTGGGTGACCTCAGGCAAGTCACAAACTAGGGTTGCCAAATCGGGCCGGGGGGCGGTGAACCCCCCGCTTCCGCGGCCCGATTTCCGTCGCAGGGGAATTCCGACCCGGGGGGAACCCCGCCCCCCAAGCTGCGTCACCGGAGGTGACGCAGCCACGTTGCCGACGAGCTCAGCCACGCCCCCAACGTCAGCACGTCGCCCGTCACTTCCGGCGACGTGCTACCGACGCACGCACATCGGGACGACTCCCGAACCGCGGCGACGCTCCCCCGCCGCGGGGGGAAGAAGATTTGGCAACCCTATCACAAACTCTCAACCTTGCCTACCTCTCAGGATTGTTGTGAGGGTAAAATGTGGGAAGTGGAGAATGGTGTAAGCTGCTTTGGGTCCCCATCGGGGAGACAGGCAGGGTGTAAATGAAGTGAATGAATCAATGCAGGGGAAGGTGCCGGCTGAAGCTGTACATGGTTCAGTTCTGTTTTGTACCACTAGATAGTCATGCTTCTACTGTCTCTCAGCATTGGGTGCAACAAGTCCGTAGTTCCTGATGCAGTGATGCTCCACACAATCCCATCTCAGGAGGCTGCCTGTTGCATCTCCGCATGAGTCTGTGCTCTGAGCCCATCTCCCTCCATTCAAAGGTTCACACAGAAGCACAGAACATGAGCCACACTTGTGAGGGTGGGTGATCCATCCTCTTGCACACTCTAGTAAAGTCTATCTCCCAATTTAATGTAGGGGGGAAAGTACCAGATATAATATGGGGAAAATTTTCCCCTCAGACTGAGCCACCCCTTTCCTAGAAGAGTACAGCTTCTCAAAAGGAGAATAAGCAGTGTGGATTTAACTAAGATTTCCTCCCGTTTCCATCATAGGGAAACTTAGGCGACTTTGAATCAAGACTCAATATCTTATCCGTCAGGTCATTTCAAAGTGAATAATCTCGACTGTTTAGCCTTTGTGGGTCAGTCCCAGGACTGATGCTAGGAGTCACGGTAAGGCAGAGATGTTCCACCAGGCATTTGCTTGAGGCCAGCGACGATTTCCATCTGTCTGGCATTCCT